CCTAATGTAAATGACGAGTTAATGGGTGCAGCACACCAACATGGCACACGTATACATATGTAACAAACCTGCACGTTGTGAGCATGTACCCCAGAACTTAAAGTATAATAAAATAATAAATAAAATAGCTTTACCAGGCGGCTGCCGAAGAGGGCGGAGGTGCAGGTCCTGGAGCTCGATGGCAGAGGCCATTTCCTGGGCCGCCTGGCGGCCATCGTGGCTAAACAGGTACTGCTGGGCCGGAAGGTGGTGGTCCTACTCTGCGAAGGCATCAACATGTCTGGCAGTTTCTACAGAAACAAGTTGAAGTACCTGGCTTTCCTCCGCAAACGGATGAACACAACCCGTCCCGAGGCCCCTACCACTTCCGGGCCCCCAGCCGCATCTTCCGGCGGACTGTGCGAGGCAAGCTGCCTCACAAGCGAGACCAGGCTGCCCTGGGCCGCTGCAGGGTGTTTGACTGCATCCCGCCACCCTACGACAAGAAAAAGCGGATGGTGGTTCCTGCTGCCCTCAAGGTCGTGCGTCTGAAGCCTACAAGAAAGTTTGCCTATCTGGGGCGCCTGGCTTACGAGGTTGGCTGGAAGTACCAGGCAGTGACAGCCACCCTGGAGGAGGAGAGGAAAGAGAAAGCCAAGATCCACTACCAGAGGAAGAAACAGCTCAGGAGGCTACGGAAACAGGCTGAGAAGAACGTGGAGAAGAAAATTGACAAATACACACAGGTCCTCAAGACCCACGGACTCCTGGTCTGAGCCCAAAATAAAGACTATTAATTCCTCAAAAAAAATAAAATAAAATAAAAATAAATAAATATTGATGCTCTTTGTGTCTCAGCCATGGGTCCTTTCTTCCCCGACACAAAACTAGTGATTGCACACACCTCAGGGGGTGAAGCCCTCCATTGAAGGGAAAATCCAGTATCTAAAGGGGAAACCCAGCTCTAGGTCATTACTGGCATGCAGAAATAAAAAAATAAGTGTTGCCTGATTTTTCAGTTTTTCAAGAGTTTAAATCTGGATCATGTGGAACCTCCTGATTTTTAAATACTGGCAAATAAATCATTTTCTAATAATTGTAAAAGCTAATGTGCTAATCAAAGTAAATCCAACATGCCTACTAGAATGTTTATCTCTCTGCTCTACTCTTTATTCTCTTTTCATAATCTCACCCATGCCCCATGGTTCAATTACTATATAAACACCAACTTGTAATTACTTATCCATAGAGTAGGCCCTTTTTGAAGCTCCAGATAAATTCAAATGCCTACCCAACATTTTTACTTGGATGTCTTGAAAGTGCTTCATATTCAATATGTCCAAAACAGAATCCATGATCTCCTAATCTGATTCTTTTAGAAGAGCAGACTTGTTTTATTGTCTCCAATAAATGACATAATTATGGTTACTAACAGCTATGTGTCAGGTGTAGTTGGGCATATGTATATGCAAAAGTGTATAAATATATATTTGAGCCATATATATGTGTGTAATATATATTTGAGTATGTGATATATATGTGAGATATATAGCTTGTATATGTGATATAGATACATATATGTGTATCAGTATTATAGCACTAGTGTTGCCAGAATATAGTAAAGAATTATCTGTTAGAAAATAATGATAAGACTTGGAATTGACTCAGAAGAGAATAGCTTACATGATAGTCACAGTGAGGAAGGTGTCAACTCAATATAAGGCAGAATGTCTTATACTGGATGCCATAATGCACAGGTTCTCCTTGAGGAAGGAAGGACTTATTCCACTAGCTGCAGGTGGACTGCCAGAAGATGTGCCTCAGTTTTTAATCTTCCTTGGGGATGGACCCAGCTGAAGAGAATTGCCTTGCCAAGATGGCGCCTCCTTTTGGGGAAGCCAGCCTGCAATGACTGGTCATGATGGAGGTATAAAGGCCCAGCCCTCCAGCCCAAACTCATGATAACTCTGGGGGGCAACTGAAGGTCCAAGCTCACCATGGGTTCAGCTAAAGGCTTTGTCTTCTGCCCTATAGTATCTCCTTCTCTCCCTTCCTCAGGGGTGATGCCAAGGGAACTCCCTAATAAATGCCCCACACCTTAATTTTCCTAAGTCTGCTAACTGAAGAGCCCAATTTCAGAAACTTGCCCAATGGCAAGTGGAATGCTTGCATCCTAAATAGTCTGAGTGCATTGCTGGAAATGGCCAAACAATGATAGGGTTGTTACTTTTGAATATTACAGGAAAGATGCATACATTGGATGTCTTCTAATGTTCCTTTCAAATGTAAGATTTTATTCTCAGTTTTGAATATTGGAAATCATATAATTAATAATTTATTTACAGAGAACTTTACAGATTATACATATTATCTCATTCAAGCCTCCCCAAAACCAAATGAAGTAGGTGGAGTATTAACCCCATCTGACAGAGGAGAAAAACAAGGCTCAGAACATTATTTGGTCCAAGAGCACCTATTTATTAAATAAAGGATCTAGTACTTGAACCAAGCTCTTCTCACATTTAGCATATAACCAAGATTTCTTTCACCATACTATATAAACAAAAAGATTCTAAACTTTTAATTTGCTTTGCTATCACCAGTATTTTTAATGAGTTTTTTTAAATCATTGAAAATGCAGCTGTATTTCTATTTGCCAGGTCTAAGTAATTCCATCCAAGAATTTTGATGAGATCTTTGAGATTTACAGGATTCCTTTATTATTTCATTTGACTCTATATAAGAGTCTGTCTTTCTGTTCAGTTGTATGGAAATGTTCTATGATATATACCTGGCAGTACATATTTCATTGCCTCCAGACTGCCAGGACCAAAGCCAGAGATCCCTTAGCAAACTGTTGCATGTTAACAAGAACATTACAATAGCAGGTGAAGGAAGTTTTGCACAAAATATTTCTGAAATAAAATGTTAGCAGGTAGACTCTATTCTAGCAACCACCAAACCAGACAAAGGAAAGCCTAGCCCTTCAGGTTACCGGAACTTGAGATTTTGTGGTAGAAAAACTTAAACAAAAGCCAGACAAGTGCCCTGCTATCATCTTCAGAGTTACATTAGTTTATCAGAATGGATGGAAGACTGAACTACTATACTCTGAAGAGAGACAAAAGCATCTTCCCCCAGCTCCCAATTGTGTCCTTCAACACAATAGTATAATCCAAATTAACCTTACAAAAGCAACATGAATCCAGAAGTCTTCATGGACTCTAACCAGACCATATGAGCCTTTCCATCAAAGACTATTTCACACTTGACTTTATGGAACTCCCTTGGAGGATCCTAGAAGGGAAGAGATTTTGTAGTTATGAAATCCAAGTGTACTTTGTTACCATTTTTCTTCTTTCAGGTAACAATGAGGGTTTAGTGTGCACCAGACCAAGTCAAGGGCTTTGCATGCATTATTTCAATGAATCCCAGCTGCAGTTTTGAGTTTGCTATTAATATGTCCCTTATGCAAATGAAAAAGTGAAGCTCACTTTTCCTAGGATCACTGGCTTGTAAGTGGCAGAGCTAGTGTTTGGCTTTCTCTAGCATCTGAGCTCTTCACAGCTCCACATTGCCTTTTCTAAGTCCTTCAAAATGAAAAACATTTAGTCATCTAAATTGTCCACAAAATGTAACACAAAATTGTAGATCGTGCTATGCAATCTTCAGATTATGTTAAAACTGAGTAAAATCCACCTAGTTCAGCAGCAAGAACTCTAACTGAACAGAAAACAGGATCTTTACAACTCTACTGTGTATATGGCAACCTGGGCTATAGTGTAGACAGGGGATATTGACAGGAATCCTACTCTGACCAGTGGGCTTGCCACTCCAGATTTAAGGAGTCAAAGGAAATAGCTCTAATTGACATGATTTTGAGTTTTCTTGAAAAGCAAAAGACAATTAATATTTTAAAGGGCCACAAATTACAAGAATAATCAAAAAGCACAGTTTCTAGGATTCTAGAGGCCAAAGAAAAGGCAGAAAAATAGAATAGTTTCTGTCAGGAGCCAGCGTTATTGGAAATACATTTCACAACAAGAATTTAAAGACTATTACAGAAACATATGTCATAAAACATCACATCCCATTCAAGGGATCTAAGGTTTCAAATAAAGAAGTTAAATCTTCTATATAACACAAAATAATTCTGTAGGTGGCCTAAAAGAACAAAATATGAACATATTGCTATTTCCTTCCAGTCCTGCAAGCTACCATAGCTCTGCTGAATACTACTACGCCAAGTAATTGTGGACAAGACTGGGAGAACTGGTTCTCACTTTCTCCACAAGTCACTGAAAACCACGACATGATTATTAGAAATACAGGAAAGAACAATACCGATGCTTATAAAAGAGAAAATGAAATGAATATAAGACCAGGCCAGATTATTAAGGCAGTGAAACGACTGTTTATGATATTTTGATGGTAAGTATACATCACTGTACATTTGTCCAAACACATAGAATGTACGACGAACACCAAGAGTGAACCCTAATGTAAACTATGGAGTTTGAGTGATAATGAGGTATGAATGGTTCATCAGTTGTAATAAGCATACCACTCTGGTGCCAAATGTTGATGGTGAGGGGGCGCTATGCATGGCTGGCAGGGGGTAGGGAGGATACGGGAACTCTGTATTGTCTGCTCAATTTTGCTGTGAACCTAAAACTTCTTTAAAAAAAAAAAAAAAAAGTCTTTAAAAGAAGATGACTAGCCTGGGGTCACATGACAGAGGTTGGGAGACCCACAGAGGTCCACAGGCAGCATCTTAAAGAAACAGAGGATGAGTAAACCAAACTCCACAGCTCTACCCTGCCACCTTCCAGTCATTTGCTCCATTATGCCAAAATAGTCACAGAATATTTACAACCCTCTCCTCCTTGTACTCTTCATGTTGTTTGCACAGAGTTGTCTACTTTTACAAATGTATAAGTGTGTCTATTTTATTCCATTTACTTATTTTTTAATTAATTTATTTTTGTAGAGATAGGGTCTCACTCTATTGCCCAGACTGGAGTGCATTGGTGCCATCATAGTTCACTGCAGTCTCAGACTCAAACTCAAGTGATCCTCCTGCCTCAGCCTCTCAAAGTGTTAGGATTATGGGCAGGAGCCACAGGGTCTGACCTTAGTGTGCCTATTTTAAAAGGAAATACTCGCAAAGTAATGAGTCAGTAAAATCTATTATTGAACATTTTAGTTGCAAAATTAACAGTTACTAATGTTCACTATACAAAAATTGGTCTATAATATTTCCTTTTTGCAGCAAAGTTTAGCATAGCAAGCAGTAATTTTAGCACATATAAAAAGTATTAAAAGCTGTGTGATGGGTACATGAAGGATTATTACATTATTATCTACTTCTGTACCTGTTTGAAATTCTCTTTGATATAAAGGTTTTCTTTAAAAAAAAAAAAAAACTGAACTATAAAACCTGCTTAATGTACCAATAACTCTACATAAGGCAATTGAATTGCTGTCAGATTGTGTTATTATAGTCATAGAAAAATATTCTGTATTCTATAGCACCATCATCCTAAAGCATAGCATAGTATTTAAGGATCTGAGTTCAGGAATCAGACTGCCAAGGTACATTCCACATACTTCACTTCTTAGCTGTTAAAACCTTGGAAAAGTTATTTTGCTTAAGCTCCAATTTCCGCACCCAGAAAGGGAATAACATCACCATAAAGCCATTATGAGAATTAAATGACATAAAATGTGTGTAAAGTCACAGCACAATGTCTGCCTCATAATATGTGTTCAATAAATATAAGTTACTATTAATATTGCAAGGTTCTCATAGATATTAAAGTTAAAAGAAG